ATGTAATGTTAAGTGGTCATCATTGCCATCTTGTCTTCCAATTCTGTTCCTTTATCTTTAAATGTAATATGTGGAGGAAAACCCCTTAATTTATAATGCTTTATCTGTTAAGTCAGAAAAAGTCCTTTTATTTTATACATACCATTCTACCTTTAAAAGGTATATGGGCATTTAAAAAGGTGAGCATTCTTTTAAGTAATAGAAATCTCATATATATTAACATTTGCAGAAAGATACCATTTTTTTTATCATGTAAGGTTGTGTCAGCTTCTGTTTACTTAAGGATTCATTGAAATATAGTTGGGGCAAAGAGTTGGAGTGGGGGCTAAATTTTGCATACAACTATTTTTATATAACTCTATTGTGGACAGGAAAAAGAATGTGCCTGGACTCTGCCCATACACTTAAATTCATGCAACGGTATCATTGAGTGATATTTACCATTGACTGATGTAGTATTCTTAGCAGTAGGAATAGTTAAAAGATAATTCAACATAATGTTATGATCTTCCAAATCTGTATATCAACCAACTCTAGCACTTTTCAGAATTTTAAATCAATGTATTTTAAGAAAAAAGTGCATATATTAGATGAAAACTTTTAGAAAAAAAGTGTTTTAGGAAAATGCTTGCAAAAAGTCTGCATGTAGATAAATAGATACAAAAATGTCCATATCAGAAGTATACAGTATACTATATTGTGTATGAATTTTCTTACAGACTTTTTACCAAATTCAGAAACAGATACCAGTCAAAACTTGCCACTGATAAAACAAGAAAGTGAGCAAAGCTAATTTGAAGTTCAGAAAATTTGGGAACACCATATTCCCTACCCTGGTCTAAATGGTCAGGGAATCACTTACATATGAGCTTCATCACGGCAAATGATGAATGTATATGAGAATAAATTCTGAAAACTTTTCAAAGCGTGTTCCCCTGACAGCCAGCAGAAGCACGGGGTAATTCAAAGATCATCAAAGCTACAATAATAATTTATACAACACTGTGCTACAATCTACATCATTGCAATAAGGACATCTCCTAGTGCAGTGGCATTTAAACAGGTCATAGGAGAAAATTAGTCATATAAGAAGAAGCTGGAAATAACAAAAGATAAGTCAAACCAATCATATAAAGCTCAGTTCAGCAATACAGGAATGTGTTTAAGGAACCTGAGAATCACAATTATGGCAATGTTACCATAGCTACCTAGAATACAGAGCTTAATGTTTTACAACTCAGGAAGGGAAATTGAAAATGTACTGGAAAAAGCTCTTTGGTCTACTCTCCACTCTGTATCGTAATTAATAGACCCTCAGTTTCTGAAAACATCCACTGATGTTGAAATTCATTATACTTATCGGCAAACTAGAGCTTTGTAGCTGCTGATGCACACTGTCCAACTGTGGAATGGGGGAAAACACCTTCCTTTCAAATGCAGATAACTCACTAATTAAAAATATTCTACCTGCTTTTCAAAAGCCACATGAAAGGCTGTATCAGTTGCTCAGGGGTTCACTCTCTGAAACTAACCCTAAGGCCATGGAATTCCAGTTTTGCCTGAAAACCAGCAGACAAAAGATTTGCCTTTTTAATCACCTAGGAACTGAATTACAACCCACAAGTCTTTTAAAAACCAACATTTACTTGAATGAATCTAGTAATAGCACTTTTTATAGATTAACTGGCACTACAGGTCAATTCAACTCTATATGACTCAAGTAATTTTTCTGCCCAGCTTGTACTACACAGGCAGTCCTTGACTTATGATGGCAATTGGGATTAGAATTTCCGCCACTAAGTGATTGTAAAGTGCAACCACATTACTTAGCAATGGCAGTCCCTGCAATCCCAGTTGCCATCATTTACTGAATTCCATGGTTGTTAGGCAAGGCAAAAATCTTTGTTGTTTCTCGCTCCAACTAACTATAGGG